CAAAGGTTATAGTAAGAGAAAAAGAAGAACACTACATAATGACATAGAAAAAAATCCAAGAAGAGAATATAACCCTTGTGAATATTTATGCACCAACGTAGGAGCACCTAAATATGTAAAGCAAATCTTGATGACATAAAGGGAGAGACTGAAAGTAACACAACCATAGTAGGGTATTTTAACACACTATTGACAAACAATGGACAGAAAGTCAACAAGGAAATGTTGGCCTTAAATGACACACTAGATCAGATGGATTTAATTGATATCTTCACAGTACTTCACTCCAAAGCAGCATAATATACATTCTTTTCAAGTGCACGTGGAACAGTTTCTGGTATAGACCACATGTTAGGACACAAAACCTCTCAATACATGTAAGAAGATTTAAATCATATCAAGCATCTTCTCTGCCCATAATGGTATGAAAGCGGAAATCAATCAGAAGAAAAAACCCTAAAAAACACACAAAGACATGGAAGCTAAATAACATGCTACTAAAGGATGAATGGATTAATAATGAGACTTAGGAAGAAATCAAAAGATACCTTGAAAGAAATGAAAATGAGAACACGACAACCTCAACATTTCTGGGCACAGTTAAAGCAGTCCTAACATGACTACCTCAAAAACCAAGAAAAATATCAAATAAACAATCTAAGTTTACACTTAAAAGAATTTGAAAAAACAACAACAAACAAAGCCCAGAGTATAAGGAAGGAAATAATAAAGATCAGAGCAGAAATAAATGAAATAAAGTATAAAATAAACAATACTGAAGACCAATGAAACCAAGAGCTAGTTCTTTGAAATGATAAACCAGATCAATAATCCTTTAACCAAGAAACCCTTATCAAGAAAAGAAAGAGAAGACCCACCTATATAAAATTAGAAATGAAAAAGAAGTAATAACTGACACCAAAGAAATACAAAGGATTGTAAAAAAATATTATGAACAAATATATGCCAAGAAATTGGACAATCTGAAGAAATGGATCAATTCCTAGAAATATACAAATAGACAATCTTCCAAAACAGAATCAGGAAAAATCAGAGAATCTGATTAGATGGATTACAACTAGAGAAATTGAAGCAGTAACAAAAACAAAACAAAAACAAAAAACAAAACAAAAACAAAACACCCCCAAAACTCCAACTACCAAAAGCCCTGGACCTGATGGCTTCACAGGTGAATTTTACTTCCTTCTAGTTGTAGAGTTTACAGTCAGCCAGGCTTCCTATGGTTCTGGATGAAGTCCGTATTGTTTCTCTGAGGTATTAATCAATTGTTGTGAGCGGCCTTAATTTCCCGGTGTTTATCTCTGCCGCCATCTTAGTTTCTCTTACCTGAAACTTATATAATCTTATTAACCAATGTTATCCCAAAAAATTCAATAAAAAAATTTAAAAAAAATTGGAAAGGAAAAATAAAATCATCTCTATTCAGAGAAGAGACATGATTGTCTTTATAGAAAATTCAAAAGAATATATAAAAATAACCTATTAGAATTAATAAGAGTTTTGAAAAGTCAATTTTTAATATGAAAAATCAATAGTATTTTTAATGTACCAGTGATAAACACTGGGGAATCAAAATTCAAAAAAACTTACCAAATATAATAGGAGCAAAAACTTTAGATATTTAGTTGTAAGCTTAAAAATATGTCTGAGATCTGAGTCTGAAAACCTAGAAAACAACTGATATTCAATAAGACTTAAATAAGTTGGAAAGTATACCCTATCCATGGATTAGAAAACTAAATAGTGTTAAGATTTTAATTCTCTTCAAATTAATCTATAGATCCAAATAACAGATTATTTTGTAGAAATGAACAACATGACTTGAAATTTTATGTGGAAAGGCAAAGAAGCAGAATAACTAAAACAGTTATGAAAAAGAACAAGGTTGGGAGGACATATGCTACCTGATTTTCAGACATATTATACAGCTACAGTAATCTAGGATAAGCACATATATGAACAGAACTGGATAGATTGTTCAGAAATAGACTTACACATATACAGTCAATTGATTGTCAAATGATTCTGGAATAACTGGATATTCACTTGTAAAAAAATAAATAAGAACCTTGACCTGTATCATACTAATTAATACAATATGAACCATACAATAGTTTTAAATCAAAGAGTATGAAGCTTCTCAAATACAACAGAGAACAATTTGTGACCTTGAATTAGGCAAAAGTTACTTAGGTACAAAAAAGCATGATTCACAAGAAAAAAAATTGATAACTGATAACTGGAGTATATAAAAAAGTTTAAAGTATGATCTTTGAATAAAAAGCCCTGTTAGAAAAATTAAAAAGCCATTCACTTCCTTGGAAAAATTATTCAAAATATTAAAAAGTATATTCCTTTATCTAATAAAGGATCTGATGCAAAAATATATAAAGAACTCTCAAAATTCAACAATAAGAAAGAAATCCAAATTTTAAAATGAGCAAGATATTTGAATAAACACTTTATTAAAGGAGCTATATGAATATCAAATAGGCAAATAGGATGAGGTTATATTAATCACCACAAATTGTATGAGGTCATGCAAATCACCATGTGAAGTCATATGAGGAACCATCACATATTGGAATGGGTAAGATAAAAGAAAATAAAGAAAAACTGGCCATACTAAGTACTGCTGAAAATGTGGAAGAACTGGAAATCTCATAGGAAATCTCATAGATTGCAGGTGGGTATACAAAATTATTCAATCTCTGTAAAGTGTTTATACACGAACTGCATGACCCAGCAGGAACTGCCCCCTGGTGATCAGTGTGCTCCCACAAGGGGAGCGCCACTCAACCAGAAGGCGGGCTCATAGCTGGCGAGCACAGCAGCAGTGGTGGGAGCCTCTCTCTCCTCTGCAGCAGCACTAAAGATGTCCAACTGATGGCTTAGGCCCACTCCGCATCAGTTGGACATCCCCTGAGGGCTCCCAGACTGTGAGCGTGTGCAGGCCGGGCTGAGGAACTCCCCTTCCCCCCACCACTCTGAGTGCATGATTTTCGTGCACTGGGCCTCTAGTATCTGTATAATGAAATCCCTCTTGACAATAAGAAGAAATGAACTACTGGTACACGTAACTATGAATGAATCTCAAATGACTTCTGCAAGATTTAGATTTTCTAAGGCTACATAGCATATAATTACATTATATGACATTCTGGAAAGAGCAAAACTCTAGAGACAGAAAACATCAGTGGTTGCCAGGGCCTGGGAGTTAGGGAAAGGTTTGACTTCAAAGAACACAAGGGTATTTTTTTGTGTGTGGTGAGAAACTATTCTACATCTTGATTGTGGTAATTTACATGACCCTATGCTATTGTCAATGTAGGAGAGGTCAATGGGGGAAAAGAAACATATGTGATACTTTCAACAATAAAGAATTTAAAAAACAAAACTCAGAACTATAAGCTAAAAGAGATGACTTTTCTTGCATGCAAATTATACCCCAATAAGCCTGACTTTAATTTTTAAAAAGATTTTTGAAAGCTGTTTGCTTGGAAAAAGATATAATAAAGGTCAGAGCCAAGTAAATGAGAAAAAAATTATATTAAGAAGGAAGCACAACTACTTAAACCCGGATGGAAGGAACCCAAAGAGAGAAAAGGTTTTCAAAAAAGATGACACTAATAAATTAGAGTTAAGGTGCTTGCAAAAGACAGCTTCATCCTGGCCTGAGAAGTCATCAAGGAACAAAGAAACACAGAGTATCTTAAGAAATAGAAATGATTTCCAGCTGCTCTATAGCTGAGACAACTGAGACACAGAGAGTTGTAGGCAGAACTCTAAAGTGCGCCCACCCCATTCGGGTCCCCTGCAGTACACACCCAGTATAATCTCTTCCACTTGAATGTGGGTGAGACTTGTAAATATCATGGAAATTCACTCCCATGATTAGGGGACTAGTCAATTGACTCTGAGTTCATTAAAAGGACGTTTATCCTGGGTGAACCTGCCCTAATCAGATTAGCCTTTTAAGGAGGGTCGCCTGCAGTGCGGTGAACTGCTTGTGGAGGAGGTAAAGACCTTTAGGAGCTAAGAGGTCTCTAGCCAAAAGTCAGGGGGAAACAGGAACTGAATTATGCCAAAACCCAGTGATCTTGGAAAAGGACCCCAAACCTCAGGTCAGATCAAAGCCCTGAATAACACCTTGATTTCCTTTGGGAAGACTGAGCAGAGAACCAATGCCCAGACTTCCAATAATAAGATGATAAATGTTCCTTTAAGCCACTAGGTTCATGGCGAATTTGTCATATAGCAGCAGAAAACCAATTCAAAGAGCGAATTAAAATGTGCAAGCTAGCTTAATCAATGTGAATACTCTCATGGTTGTGACCCCAATAGTTCTTCACCCAGTAGTAAGGCAGTTTTGATGACTTGCACTGCATGGAAAAGCGTCACAAAAGGTAACATCATCTAGAGAAGAGGTGCAGGCTAAGGGGATGACATCTCTGGAAAATAATCTCCCTCAATTCCGTTCAGTGGTGGCCAAGAGAGCCCAGCATAGACTAGGGAAGGGGCCCCTGGTCTTGTCTCATCGTAATAGTAACTCACTGATCCCACAGCCTTCCCTTCTCTACATCAAGGCCATGACTGCATCATTCAAGTATTCACACTCTCCTCTCTGGGCTGAACGCTCTCACACAAGTCTCCAGGGCCAACCGTAACAACCAGGGCAGAGTTCACTGGACTTTCTTAACACTTATTCTTAACACACTCACTTGTTAAGCTGGGCACCAGGAAGTAACCACTCAACTTTATAACCATAAAAGAGACATGAATCATCCCTGAAGCATCGTTCCATACAGGTTAAAATAGATAGCAGGAGTCCCACCCCACCCTTGAATTACATTTGAATTGCAGTATCTTGCAAATTTAAAAGAATTATAATCTTAATTTTCATAACATTATTCGTTCTTTTACTCTATAAAGTTGTTCATTTGAAAGGTCATATAATGAAAATAGCACAAATAACTTACCCTGTAATGTTTTAGTCTGATGAAATCAACATAGAGACACATCTATCTGAATTTTGACTGATGTTCTATAAGATCCGCACAAAACCTGTAACCTCCTTTAAGCACACACAGGATCCTAAGTTCACAGCATCCTACATATTCAATAATATCCTAGCCAGATGCTCAATTCTGAAAGAAGGAATGAAAAGATATGTTAAAGCATAACTATTTCTGAGTATTTTTGTTCCTTTTAGAAAAATGCATGATGTACTATACATATTAGATTACACAGGAAGATGTGGAGAAGAGTTTGGGAGACAGAAGGCTGCAGATAAAGCAGCTTTGTTCAAGTTTGACAAAGAGAGAGTGTTCAAAACATATTTCTGACAATTACATCATCAATAGCACATTGTTACTCCTCTGTGTCACAAAAATGATTAAGGTGTAAGCTATAAAGTCAAAGGTCATGGATGTTGTTATTTTATCACCACAGAGGCTGGTGGTTAAGCTTATGCTGTGATGGCATTTGCTGATAGTATGCTCACTTTATGGCATGGAGAAAGGAAATGGAGAATGACTCACCCACCTTGCAACATTAGAGAAGACTGGAAGAAAAAACCCTTAGTAACTATCAAAAGAATAACATTTGCCTTATATTTCACAAAGATAACACATTACCTATGTGAAAGGTGCCCCAGAGTACAGTTCCAGTAGGCACCATTTCCATGAAATGCAATGTGAATGACGCCTCGCGGAGTTATGCAATGATGCAACCTTGGGTTGGTACCCAATACCTAATTTGGATCTTTCATTGTATTTTCTTCTAATTGTTTCATGTCTAGAAGTCCATTATTCATGCACGCATACAACATTAAAACCTACTGGCACCTCAAATAGAATTAGATTTAAAACAAGCTGAATGATCTGAATATCTATAAAACGTTATATTATGAATGATTGACATATATTATTTTATTTATTATATACATTTTTATCCCTCTTTTATTTTTAAAAATTATTTTAATTTAAAAAATTTTTAAATTACAGTTGACATGCAATATTGTATTAGTTTCAGGTATACAACATAGTGATCAGACATTTATATACAGTGGGGCCTTGACTTACGAGTGTCCCGATAACGAGTTTTTCGAGATATGAGCCGTCTCTTGGCCGATTTTTTTTGCTTTGAGTTGCGAGCTAAAATTCGGGTTACAAGCCAGCACACGTGTCTCATTAGTTCACTTTTTGATTTGACATATGAGTAATTTGAGTTACGAGCTCTGTCATGGAACGAATTAAACTCGTAAGTCAGGGCCCCACTGTAACTTACAGGGTGATCACCCCCGTAAGTCTAGTATCCATCTGACATCATACATAGTTATTACCATATTATTGACTATATTCCCAATGTTTTCTTTTATATACTGGTGACTGTTCTTATAACTAGCAATTTTTACTTCTTAAACCTGTCATTTTTTGACCCCATTATAAATGTTTTGTATAGTGTGTGTATACACACCCAGATATACATATAAAATGTCAGCCATGGTTCCATGTTCAAAATATGGTAACCAAAAAATGTACATCAGCATGCCAGATATTCTATAAAAAGGACATTTGTTTCCAGCATGATGGAATGAGGAGGTCAACATGTCCTTTCCACAGACAGCAACTATAAAGCTGGAAAAAACTATTAAAAACAACCACTTCACTCTGGAAATCAACCAAAGGCATACAACAAACTGAGAATCATGTATTCATGAAAACATTGAACACTGGGTAGAAACAGAGCAAGTCTGTAACTTCTTGCCCAAGAATGCCCCCATTGTGCTCCCTAGCTCCCCATCAACTCTGTTGCTCAACCAGGTAGTTCAACCAGGGTGGGGAACTGACAGAGGGAGCTTACCTGGCATGTGAACAGGGAGGACCGATGACTCCATTTTTCAGTATTTGCAGTCCTGTTTGAGCAACTAACTGATTAGAGCAGTCTGGGATTTGATAGGGAATTCCAGGAGATTGGAGTCATAGGAGAGAGCTACACAATAAACTCTTAGCATATCCCAAACTGGCCAGAGCTAAGTGTATGCACAGCAGAGTCTAGAGTGGGCCTAAGCTTCCCACATGTCCCTGGGTGATGGAGCCTGTAAGCATGATCGGAGGAAACGTAAGGAAGCCCAGGGGAATGTAAAAGGCAAGAAGACTTGAAAAAGGCTGGATCTGAATGTGTTTGCCAACCCTTACACACATTCATCAGCAGAGTGGAAGCCTTACTGGCTCAAGGTGTTTAAGTACAATTTCTAACTAATCTAAGGCTTAAGGCTAAGCTATTTAGACAGAGGGGTGAACCCTAGCAAGTGAGGCTTAAAAACAAAAAAAAATAAACTGCATATCATCAAAGACCAAACATTGTGGGGGACATATATTTCACAGAGTGAAAGACTAAAAAAATAAAGGTGAAGAAGAACAAGCAATGAATAGAAAATAGTTATATATATGATAAATATTAAACTATAACAGTAATCACTTTAAATGTGAGTGGTCTATATACAACAATTAAAAAGCAAAGACTGTTAGAGCGGATAAAAAGCCAAGCGCTAATATATGTTATCTGCAAGAAACACACTTTAAACATAAAGACACAGATAGACTAAAAGGATAAAACATACCATGCTAACATTAATCAAAAGGAAGCTGGAGTTGTTATAATAATTTCAGGCAAAGCAGACTTCATAGCAAGGAAATGATCAGGAATAAAGAGGAACATTACATAATAAAGAGGTCAATTATCCAAAAAGACATAACAATCTTAAAAACAGTATTAAAACACTGACAGAACTGCAAGGAGGAATAGATGAAGCACTATTGCAGTTGGAGACTTTAAAATCCCTCTCTCAATAACTGACAGATCCAACAGGCATAAAACAAGTATGGATATAGTTGAACTGAACAATACCATAAGCCAACTGGGTCTAATTGACAGTTATAGAATTCTCCACCTAACATTCTTCTTAAAAGATGTCAATAAGAAAATGAAAAGACAAGCCACAAACTGAGAGAAAATTTTTGCAAAACACAAATAAAGGACTGGCATCCAAACTATGCAAAGAACACTTAAAATTCAATAACAAATAACCTAACTTAATATGAGCAAAAGATCTGGACACCTCACCAGAAGATGTACAGATGGTACATAAGCATATGAAAAGATGCTCCACATTATGTCAGCAAGAAACTGCAAATTCAAACAACAACATATGGCGGAACAACCAAATAACCAAACAACCAAACAAATGGTCCCTATGATATGTGCTGACCACCAGGGGGCATATGTGGAACATGGTGGGCATCGACAGCAGGCAGCAGAGCGAGGAACACAGTGGGTGTCGGCTGCGGCGAGAAGGTAGAGTAGGTGAGCAGGGGTGCCAAACCAAGGTGGGGCACTGGTTGCTGTCATCAGGGAGTGCCTCTGGTGGTTACTGAAAATTCTTTGCTCCTGCCCACTGCTGTCCCGCCCAGCGCTTGCACCTGCTACTGGTGCTGGAGCCACTGCTTGCATCCACTGCTGGTGCCGGGTGCTGGTCCTGATTGCTAGGCACCATCAGTGGGTGCGAGCAGCAGCTGTCGCCAGCCCCATTGCCCCTGAGGGCTTCTCTGCCTCCCCCTGCTCCTGAGGGGCAATCGGGGCAGTAGCTGCTGCTTGCATTCACTGATGGCACCAGCCCTGCTTATACCTGCTGCTGGCACCGGCCCCAATCATTCTGTGCCATCAGCGGTGTGAGCTGGGTTGGCGCCGTCAGCGTGTGGGAGCAGTGGCAGTGGAAGTGGGGCTGTCGGCAGACAGGGGATGGGGGACTGTAGCTGGAGGGGCTGCGGGGCACAGAGGATGGGCCAAGACCCACCCCTGTGCCCACCGCAGCCTCGTGGCCCACAGTTCCTTTCAAGGTGCACGAATTTGTGCACTGGGCCCCTAATATCTGATAAAGGACTTGCATCTGGAAAATATAAGGAACTCTTTCAACTAACTCAATAAGATGACAAACAACTCAAGTTAAAAGTTGGCAAAAGACTTAGGCATTTTCCAAAGAAGACATATAATAGCTAACAAGCACACTAATCATTAGAAAAATGCAAATTAAAACCACAATGAGATACCCTTATATATCCACTAGAATGACTATAATTAAAACAACTGATAATACTAAATGTTGGCAAGTGTGTGGAGAAACTGGAAACCTCATCATTGCTGGTAGAAATGTAAAATGGTACAGCCAATTTGGAAAATACTTGGCAATTTCTCAAATTTACCATAAAACTCAGAATTCCACTTCAAGGAATCCATCTAAGAGAAATGACAAGATATTTCCACACAAAGAATGTTCATAGAAGCATTATTCATAACAGCAAAAAATTAGAAATCCAAATATCTATCAACTGGTGAATCAAAATTAAATATTATATAGTTTAATTTATAAGAAATGCCCAGACAAGACAAATATATAGAGAAAAAGAAATCAGATTAGGTGATTGTCTAATGCTGAGGGTAGGAGCAGAGATTGAGCAAACAAAGTTTTTGAAATAATAGAAATATTGCCCTAGCCAGTTTGGCTCAGTGGATAGAGCATTGGCCTGCAGATTGAGGGTTCCTGGGTTCGATTCCAGTCAAGGGCACATGCCCATATTGTGGGCATGATCTCTAGTAGGGGGCGTGCAGGAGGCAGCCGATCAATGATTCTCTCTCATTGCTGCTCCTATCTCTCTCCCTCTCCCTTCCTCTCTGAAATCAATAAAAATATATTGAAAAAAATAATAAAAATATTATAAAATGATGCTAGTGATGGTTGCCCAATGCTAAAAATTTGCTTTAAAAATCATTAAATCATTTACCTACAGTGGGTAAATTCTATAGTATGTAAATTATATCTTAATTAGTTCATTTTAAAGGTTTGGATGGGCAATCCTGGGCCCCACCCTGGACCCCACCCCAGACCTTTGAACCAGAATTTCTGGACATAAAGCTTAAGAATGTACATTTTAACAAGTTCACTGGGTAGGTCTCCTGTACAGGGATCTGGCTCTGGATAACCTTACCAGAGCTCAATCATTTACTAGATCAGGTTGCAATTAATTTAAGTCATAAAATTCAGGTTAGAAAAGTAGGAATTTGTTTAAACCATGGGGTTTCCATCCTGGTATTAAGAGAAATTCTTCTGAGAGTTATTAAGAGGTGAACAACTATAAAGATGTCCACAGTACAACAAAAGTTGGTTTAATTGTTAAAGTCGAGGAAGTCTCCCCCCCCCATAATTTCCATATATTTAAATATAAATTGTTAAAAGGAAGATTTAGCAATTTGGGAGATGCAAATTTCCCAAGTTTATTTGATCACAAAAACCTTTTTTTCCTTCTGAAGATCAGAACTTGTATTTCAGAGGAAGCCCATATTAGGTATGAGAAATCCCAAACTAGACCTTATTTTAATAATGTGCTCTAGTTTGAGAGAGAACACACAATATCCAAGTCTTAGAATTTGAGTGAAAATTTTAGAATTTGAGTGAAAGAATGACGTTTCCTTCCAGACAGAAGTAATCACCTAGCTTATTGCAAACTTTCTTTTGGCCGAGGACCTATTTCATAAAGTTAAATTTTAACTCGGAAGAATATAACACATGAAAAAGGAGGAGGCAGAAGTTTAAGTTTATGGTTATAGAAGAGGTAGAGTGGGAGCCCAAAGCCTCCATTTGCTCCTACTTCCCTGTGCCTCCCCACCCTGATTTCTGGGTCTGGGAAGAGCTTCTGTGATTCCTGGGAATGCACTGTGCAAACCCACGGAGCTTGCTCTCCATATAAATGTGAAGGCTTATGAATTTAGAAATGAGAGGTACATGGAAATGTAACAGTCTGGGCGTTAAGGCCACTTTGTGAAAGGGCCCTGGCCTCTATTTAAACCTTGGCATTTTTGGTGGGCTGAACTGTATGGGGTCTCTCTGAAACCAAAGGCCAAACAGGGGTGACTTAGGGGCTTAGAACAGAGAGAAAATGTTGGCTTTAGGAAAGCCAGTCAGCTAGGAAGGAGTCAGAGGCTATTTATGGAGACAAATAAGAAAAAACTAGAAATAGTATTCCAAAGAGAATTCTGTGCAGATCTTTTTAAGCTGCAAACATACCTGTTCCCAAAACGTTACCACTGGCTGGGAAATAAAATTGTGCACAGACTGGTTGGCCTCTGATACATTACTTTCTCCGAAATAAATACAAGTTCTCAGGAAAAGCCAGGGCTTTAGGGGTGTGTCCTATGAAGGCAAAGATCACCTCTTAACTCTCCCTGGTTAACTGGAGAGTCTACAAAATGTGAGGCAAAGGTACCTGGGTGAGAAGCAATGCTTTCCCAAGTTCCATTTTCATTAGTTTTTCTAGGACAATTGTTATCTTGAGACTGTTACTTATAATGTAATACTTTATGTATGGGTAGTATTTCCTCTGAACAAATGTCCAGGTAAACTGTTCAGGTAAAGCACAGATTGTTTGTATTTCAAATTCTCTGCCCTGAAAAGTGCTGTCTACCACTGCATAAAAGAGATACAGAAACAGTGTCTTAAATTGTATTGCATGATTCACTCAAGAGACAGTCCACCCAGCACAGGGTCAAGCCCGACACAGGAAGTAATACTCACCGGTCAACAATGATGCCATGAGGTATGAAGACATATTCCAAATCTCCATAATAGTGCTGTGTGTATGTAAATAAATTCAAGTCATACTCTGGACAATCATTCATAACCTGCAAATCAAATGATTTTGGTTATGGCATTTTTTCATTGGAAATTTATTTTAAAACCATAAATAAACAAAACAGTGTCATTTGAAAAACAAAATAATACCAAAAACAGAAAGTAGTCCTATGAGCAATATGGCATTAAATTATATTCTGTGAACCTATGAAAAGTTCAGTGGGACAAGGTAATGTTTCATTCAACTTGATAAAGGACCTAGTACTGAAGAACACAGAGTACATGTATAAAATACCTTAATTTATGCCTTAATTATAAATGTTACCATGACTATAACATGTGTATCTACAACATTATAGTTGTAATTTTAATATATACACTATATCATATATTACTATAGTATTATATATACTACTAGTGGCCCGGTGCACGAAATTCATGCACAAGGGAGGGGGTGTTCCTCAGCCTGACCTGCACCCTCTCCAATCTGGGACCCCTCGAAGGATGTCCTACTGCTGGTTTACAGCGATCGGGCGTAAACCAACAGTCGGACATCCCTCTCGCAATCCGGGACTGCTGGCTCCTAACTGCTCCCCTGCCTGCCTGCCTGCCTGCCTGATTGCTACCTCAGCCCCGCCACCATGGTTTTGTCCAGAAGAACGTCTGGAAGGTCTCCTGGAAGGTGTCCCAGTCTAATTAGCATATTACACTTTTTATTAGTATAGATAGAGGCCTCGTGCACGGGTGGGGGCCGGCTGGTTTGCCCTGAAGGGTGTCCTGGATCAGGGTGGGGGTTCCCTTGGAGTGTGGGGTGGCTTGGGCGAGGGGCCTGTGGTGGTTTGCAGGCTGGCCATGCCCCCATGGGGTGAGGGTTCCTGCTGTGGGGGGGCGTGGCCAGCCTGGATGAGTGGCTGAGAGCTGTTTGCTGGCTGGCCACGGCCCCGGGCAACCCAGGCTCCCAGACCGTACTTGAGTGGAGGTCACAGAGGCTGGAAGCAGGTATCTGGGATTTATTTATCTTATGTAATTGAAACTTTGTAGCCTTGAGCGGAGCCCACAACCGGCCAGGGCAGGCGGGAAGCTTGGCTTCCTCCATCACCAGGGGCAACACAAGCCTCCTGTTCACTCCAGCTCCATGGCTGCCGCCATCTTGGTTGGGTTTATTTGCATACTCACTCCTGATTGGCTGGTGGGCATGGCTTGCAGGTGTAGCAGAGGTACGGTCAATTTGCACGTTTCTCTTTTATTAGATAAGATTACATTTCCATGCATTGTATAAGCCTCATTTGCCTGAGAAAGATTTCCTATTAAAAATACCTGTCTCCAGGGATTAGTGTAGACCCAAACTTCTGAGTCATCTAATCCTTCTTGCAAAGACTTCTACAGGACATACTATGGTGGAAACTAAAGTCAGTCTTATTGGGAAACAGTTGCTCCAGGAAACTGGCCCATTCAGGTACTGGGAAGACTGCAAGCAAGTCTTCCTCTTGCTTAGGATGGGATGTGCAAGTTTTATGGTTAAAGTAGTAAAGAGGTGAGAGAGAAAATGAAGGTGAAGATGTTACTTTTACTCTCAGATCTTTAGGAAAGGATGCAACACAACAGTTTGAATGCACTCAAACTGACCATGGCTGCATTGCCGGTTCTGGTTCTCTAATTACTCCTACCCACTGCCATCAGACTTCTCTGTCCAGCTTTAAGCTTTCCAGGCCTTTCATAATGCAGACCTTGCCTAATTTTCCAGCCCAGTTCCCTAAACTATCTCCTTCCTGTCCTCAGATCGGTCTTCAGTCGAGTTGTTTTCCTTCCTAGCTCTGTGTTCTGTTCAACTGTCTGTCTTGCATCTACATCTTCTCCCTGTCTTTCTTCTCTGTCTCTGTATTCCAAGCTCAGCTCCCCCAGGAAGCTTGGGTCAGTACCCTCTTCTTTCTGGAGGCCTTGATGCCTGCTCCCTTCCTCTGATCTTCTTTCTCAAACTCCCGCTACCCCTCACAGCTATCTGTTCTCCTAGACTAGAGGATCCCTTTCAGGCTCCTTGCGAAAACTCCTGTTCCTTCCAGCACCTGGTTTGGTTTTGCTGTTTTAGAACCCACTTGGGCTTCATTTAATGCTGGAACATCCTCTCGCTTTCCATTCTCCTTTTCACTCCAGATTTAAAAACAATTCTCTTTTGCTCAGGTTTTGGAAGGGCAACTTATGGTCCAACCTCCACCTGCTCCCATCTCCCATCCAAAACTTGTAATAGTTCCCCCCAAATTTATCCTTCTCTATCAGGAAAGAACAACTCCTTTTTCCAGTTGCTCAGATAAAAACCTCAGAATTGTTGTCAATTTCATTCTTACATCCCGTTCATACAACCCATTAGTCAATCTTATCATTGATTCCTTCAAAATGTAACCAGGACCACCCCTCTGTTTGTGTTACCATATGTCTCCTGGGATTATTGCCATAGCTGCCAAACTCACCTCTCTGTGACCACCATGGCATGCATACTCCCACCACATGGCAGCTGAAGTGCTCCTTTAAAAATGTACATGATGTCATAGCCATCTTCTGCAGTTATTTTCAAAGGCTTCCCACTTCTCTGAGTACAATGCAGAGTACTCACCATGGCTTCCCTCTCTGACTTGTCTTCAAGCCTGCTCTTCCTCACTCACTGCTTTGGGCACTGTCCTCCTTGCTGATCCCTGAATGTGCGAAGCAGGCTTCTGTCTCAAGGGTCTTGCACTTGCTATGTTTTTTCTTCCCCCAGATATCCACATGACTTACCCTTCACTTACTTCAAGTCTTCATTCAGATGTCACCTCTACAGACAGGACTTCCCTGACCACCCAAGTAAAATGGCAGCCACCTCCTACCCACTCATTCTTGTCTGCCTCTTACCCAGCTTTACTTTCCTTCATAGCATGTATTCCTACTGGATGTGGCGTGTGTGTGTGTGTGTGTATGTGTGTGTGTGTGTTGTCTTGTCTCCTCCCACTGGAATATTAGCTTCTTCTGGTAGAGACTTTGTCTTTTTAATGGTTGAATCCCCAGAGCCCAGGACACTGACCTGGAATATGGCAGCTGCTCAAAAATGTTAAATGAGTGAATGACACATAGTCTCCATTCATGGATTATGCAATACTACCTGAACTCTAGCCTCAACCTTGTCTCCTTGTGATAAAGAGCATTGCTGTTCAAGGCTCTGAAAATTCATATCTACCATGGGCAGACTCCTAGTCAATGGTGTATGTCATCGGTATATTCGAAGAGTATCACATTGCTCTTCCTCTACCAGCAAACTGGCTGGGTACCCTGTTGAATTTGCACAGAGCAACTCTGGCTTCCACCCCTGAGAACTCTTCGGGCCTGCTGTAACCATAATACCATCATGGCTGGGCAGAGCCTGAACCCCCAGCTATACATGAGCAGCTTTCAGAAGTCCCTCTAGCAGGCCAAGGTCAAGACAGATGGGAACCCTGTCCAGAACCAGGGAGCTCATCCAAGTAAATAGCTCTTTCTGGCTCCCCTTCCAGACCACACACACTAACCACCCTACTTCCCAAAGCCAGGTGATGGCATCATTAACTAATGGTCATCTGAACCCATTCCTTCCATCATGCAAATCCTTTACTGCCCTCTCTAAATCTCAGAGACAATTCTCCACTTCATATTGTAGAGCTCAGCGCTAGCATTTTCAAGCTGTGATGTTAGAGAAATTACCTACTCTCTCTGAGATTCAGTTTCCCTCTCCTGTAAATAAGACACATAAAACCTATAGACAGGGTAGTTGTGAGGATTAAGGCATAGAACAAATAATGTTCTTAGAGGTCTTAGTACATTTCCTGATGCATAATAAGTGCTTAATAAATGACGCCCCCTCCCCAAATAAGAAAATGGCAAATTAAACCAACCTATAGATAAAAACTGTAATGGTAATCCGTAGCACAGAGGCAGATGGAGTGCTGGTTAAGAGCATACACTTACAAGTACAATACACCTGGAGACAATGAGACCTTAGGCATTTTAACCTCTTTGAGTCCCAGTGTATTCACCTGGAAAGTAGAGTCAACGCTTACCTCATGTGGTTACTGTGAGGAGTAAATAAGACAGACAATGGAGATAAAACTCATACCCATATCTAGTCTATCGTACTTATGTAATAAATATTAACTGCTTAGATGTACTGAAACATCAATAGTTTACTTACAACTGATATGCTTTAATTAACTTAAAGATGTGCCACAAACCTGCTTGCCAAACTCTCATTACCCTAGTTAAAGCTGTAAATGTAAAAGCAGAAGAAATTTATTTTCAAAAACTATTCTATAATCCAAACTGGCCTTATTTCCAATAGAATAGTGAGTCGTCATTGTTGAGTAGAGGTAAAGGATCTACTTTGTTATCCTTGATATCGCACACAGATGGCATTGTAAGTTAAGCCTGAAACCTGGGGGATTGGAAACTGCTGTGGACTGTAGATAATTATGTTATTAATCTGCTTTTTAAAATATCAAAACAAGCCGAAACCGGTTTGGCTCAGTGGATAGAGTGTCGGCCTGCGGACTGAAGGGTCCCAGGTTCGATTCCGGTCAAGGGCATGTGCCTGGGTTGCGGGCACATCCCCAGTGGGAGGTGTGCAGGAGGCAGCTGATCGATGTTTCTCTCTCATCGATGTTTCTTACTCTCTATCTCTCTCCCTTTCTCTCTGTGAAAAATCAATAAAATATATTTAAAAAAATAAATAAAATATCAAAACAAGAAGTCTTTAAATAGCTTCTGTATCACAGATAATAGGCTCTAAGTTTATTCAGCACAATCTTTCTCTGTTGGAAGATGCAAAACACGGCCAAGCTGGGGAAGTGACACATTAACTGAGCCATTTTATACAACATCAAACCCCAGAACTCAATCCAAATCTCTTTTCTCATTTAATGATACAGTATATTGGAAACCTTCTTTCTAAGTCATTAATATATTTTTTGCTTAGAATATTTCTTGCATTATTTTTCAAGTGGTTTCCCCCCAAGGAGAAAAACAGTTTGGAAACACATATAAAAAGTGAATCTCTGCTCTTCTCTGCTGCGAAGTCCCTCACTTTGTGACCCACTCTCTCCTCCAGGCAATGACCATGGCTGCTGCCAATTTCAGGCTCAGGGCTACCCCTCCACCATCAAAGAGGAAGGGAGTCTAACCCCTCAGCTCTGTTTCCAAGAATCCCACACACGAACATCAGGACCTTGAGACTCTGAGTTTGCCTTTCAGGCCAATTTAGGTTAATCTACTTATCCTGAATTCTACTGGAGAAAAGGACATAAATGCAGGAACTGTCTCTATTATAATTGATTATTTTCAACCAAGGCAGGCCCTCTCACTGCCTCCCTGCATCTTCCACAAAATTACCTTGCTTTTGAGAGGGCTTCTTTTGACACAAATAGATTGGGCTGTTTACACGATTCCATCATTGCTTTTTAGACTTTAACAATCTACCTTTCCTATTAGTCATACAGATTTACCTCGTTCTCTTTTAAGAGTATCTATTATTAAATAGTAGTGCTATATTTAACCATTCTATTGATGGAATGGCTTTTTTTATTAATGGCTTTGTAATTGTTAAATACAATGGCCACTTTTCCATCTTAATCCTACTGCCTTTCTGACACTCTTAATGACCTCTTTGCCCCCTCTCCTCCAAACTCTTCCCTGGGCACCTCCCTCCCTTCCTGTTCTCTCCTACGTTGCTCCTCATTCTTAGTCTCTTGATCTGGCTTCTCTTGGACACTCAGCCTCTTACAGGTTTCTACTCGTAACAGTAATTTTTAAGTTTTCCCCATTTTTACTGGGCATCCCTATCCACCCACCCCCAAGCATCAGATCTCTTTCTACTTGCTGATGCTTTCTAAATATATTAAATTACTCTCCTGAAATCTAAATATGAATTTAAAGTTGCTTACAATGCATCCTGCCCTGTAGGCCCTATGGTCAGTCACTACAGACTTGATCTGTCCAGAATTGAACTTATTTCCCTTTCATATTTTCATCTTCCTCACCCCAACCCCAGGCCTGACCATCTTCTCCATGGCAACTGGGTGGCTTTATTTAAATTCAATTTTCACTGAATTTATTGGGGTGGCATTGGTTAATAAAATTATATAGATTTTCAGGTGTATAATTTTATAATACATCATCTGTATATTGTACTGTGTGTTCACCACCCCAAGTCAAGTCTCCTTCTACAGAGTGACATTTTTATATATGTGTTTTTTTGTTTGTTTGTTTTTAGAGGGAAGGGAAGGGGAGATGGAGCCCAAAACCATGGAGCATGGTTTTGAACCTACAGGAATTGAACCTACAACCTTTGGGTTCATGGATTGACACTCAACCACAGAGCCACACCAACCCGGCCAGAGTGACATTTTTAAAACATAAATTGGGTGTAAAATTTCTTCTCAGGAGGTAATGATTTCTTAGCACTTGGCATGTGCTGTCTTGAGTACTCTGCTTCAGAGTCTTCCCATGGCTATCTCTTGCTTACACTTCAGATGGTGGCTCAAATGTGGAGGAAAAAGAGGCTGCCCTGACCACCTGAGCAAAAACAGTGCTCCCCAGCCTCCTCCAATCACCATCTCTTTGTTCTCTTCTTGCCTTCTCATTGCACTAACTGACACTATCTCCTTTATTTATTTGCTTTCATACTGCCTGCCTGTGTCCTTTCTGTAGAATGTAAGCTCCATGAAGACAGGGTTTGGTCGTGTTCTCTGCTGTATCCCTAGAGCCTAGAACTCCACCTGGAACCCAGCAGGACAGTGAATGTATGCAGATGCCTAAATAAATGAACTGCAACTCTTTTAAGAGCCAAAGCCCTCCTCTTAAATTAAGAACCGAGCAACACATTTCAACCTGAATAGTTCTATTTGAGCGTGAGGTGTCTCCTTCCCGCTCACTCACGGAATCCATTCACAATCACTGGTATTTGTGAATTACAGGGTAATCTCTTAAAAAAGTAATCTTAATGTAGTATACTGGCTCCACCGGCCACCCTCACCACGTTTTACATTAAACCTAACACAGTAATAACCACAGCCTCCTACAGAAATCATTCTCCATGGGAGGCGCCGGCAGACGCCAGTGGCCACAGGGCAGAAGTCGATTTGATTTAGGACACTGAAAAGAGGGGTGCCCTCTGGTTGACTCCTGGAGGGATTGTCTGGGATACAGAGGCTCTGGGCTGGGAACCCACCCACCATCCACATCCTCTTCTCGGGTAACAGTACCGCATATTTGACATATAAACTCTCCAGATCACTCGCGAGGCCTCGCGTGCTGAGTCCCTTCTGCAGACGAGGTACCTGAAGCTCAAGAGGCACTCGCTTGCCCGGAGCGTGGGCAGAGACCCCACAGCGAGGGTCCCCCGCGCAGGTTGCAAAGCTCAAACGTCACCTGAGCTACTTTAGTCCTAGCTGCCGCGGAGAACCCTCAGTGTCCTGTGGGAGACAAAGCGAGAGGGCCGGGCTGGAGAGCTCAGGAGGAAGCACAAGAGGAGGGAGGTCTCCACGGGTGGCCGCGGGGGTCTGTGGGGAAGTAACACATTAACTGAGGCTGGCAGAAGTGGGGACCCGGCGCGACCCAGGCTTACCGCTGGAGTAGCGGATTCCGGGCCGGGCCAGAGAGGGGGACACAGAACCCCGGGTGTCGGGATGTTGAGTGTTTGGTCAGATTGCGCGCTGGCTATTTGCCGGGAGTGGGGAGTGGGGTTTAAGGATGGAAGCGATCCCCGCCGCGAGGGAAGAACAAAGCCGTGGCCCGAGCTCACCCGAACGCACTTCACGCCTTGGGTGTAAGGGGAGGGCGCCACGAAGGGAGGGGAGAGGAGCGCGCGACTCGGCCCGAAATCCATCGGGAGTTTGCCTTTACCACTACGCCTCGCCAGTGGCCTGGCGCCGCTTCACTGCTCCGGGCCATGTTTCTCCCGGGGACAGCAGGGAGGGAAGGACCTGGGAGGGGTCGGGGTGGGCCCTGGAGGTGGGGCTGGGGTCGCCCCGCCCCGGCAGGGGACAGCTGGCGGAACGGAGCGCGCGCACGGACCCGGCGCCTGGCCGGGCTCCAGCGTCTGGGCTTCGGCACCCCCTCCCGGATCGCCTCCCTCGACGGGTCTGGGGGGCGGAGG